ATCAACGCCAGGAAGCAAATGCATACAGCATGAACATCTTAGATATCACTGTCAGCTGTAATTTAGTGACCAGGTCTGAATTTAACTTCAATCATTGATGGCCTTACTCAGTCGTCGTAGGAATCCGTGATATATAACTTCCTGGTTAGAAACCCGGAGACCTTTGTTTCAAATCCTGCAGCGGCACAAGTTTCCATTTCACCTTCATTTAGCCATAACCCAGTATGGCAACGAGCTCTGAAGCGTATGACCATAGATCAAATGACTATTCCGGAAATACTTAGCACAAACTGCAGGTCGTTGCCGAATAAAGTTGATAACCTTCAGTCACTCTTGTCCACAAATGTTTATCGAAACACGGGTGTAGTAATGCTGCAGGAAACATGGCTTCATAACTTAGATGATGACTTAGTTTGCTGAGATGGTTTCAAATTATTTCGAAAATATCGAAGCTTTTCGAAGAAATATGGTGGTGGTGTAGCAACATTTATTAGTACTAACTGGTCCTCCTCTAACTATGTATGCTTCTGCTTCTCTAACGAAAAATTGAGTGCATTACCACCAAATGTCGACCCAAACATTTGAGCAAATACAAATACATATATATCACAAACATGTATGTCACACCTGACTGCAGTTTCTCAGATTTGTCAACTTTTGCTGATAAATTCACTGAATTTGCTGCTCCGGTCCTGGGAAACTCCTTGTCTGTGGTGATTTTAACTCATGTGACTACAGTTTTCTATTATCATTGGGTCATAAAAATATGGTTAACTTTTCCACTCGTCTTGACAACACTCTAGACTTTGCATTTACAAATGAACCTGGCATATATGAAGCCCGTAAACGGGCTCCACTGCTAAATTCCGGCCACTGTATTGTTCGTGTTTTGCCTAAAGTGTACGGAAAATTATACAGGAAAGCTTTTGCATACCTTTCGAGGAAAGTTCAATACAGACGCTATTCTCAAGAAAATATATTACGTTTGAGAAGCATGCTTATAGAAACGGACTGGGATACATTTGCTGATGAAGTTTTAGACAACACTATCACCAATATCACAAGCTATCTCATATTCTGTCTCGATATCTGCTGCCCACTGAAACAATTTACATGAGATTTGACAGACTTTCCTCTCCTCATCTCAAGAGGCTTCGGAGAGAAAAGGAAAGGTTGTGTAAGGCGAGAGATCACCCTGGCGTTAAAAGGTTTAACTGCCTAATTAAGTCTGAAATACGTCTTGATACTATATACAACCAGAAGTTCTTATCGTGTAAGAACTCTTCCAATATATGAAAATTATTTAGTTACTGGTAAAAAACAGATGACAAAACAAACCCGTTCGGATATCTGTGCGTTAAACAAGTCATTTATACGTCGGCAAGCTAATTTCACCCTTCCTAATGTCCAAAATCAAGTGGATAGCTGCTTTCCAGGTTTCAGTACAAATGATGTATTTAAATTAATGATGGATCGTGGCTAGCAGTGGAATCCAGGATGCGCATTTCGTCCTATTTAACTGTTTAAAGTCTTCGAATCCCTCCCAAAGCTTAGGTCCTGATGGTGTTTCTAGTATCATATTTAGAAAATGTGCAGATATTTTGTGTCATCCACTTACAGATATCTTCAATGTATCGTTCTCTAAAAACATAATACCCACTGCTTGGAAGCAGATAAAAATTGTACCTGTGCCTAAGCCATCTTCTGGATCAGATGTTACTTTTCGACCCATCGCTATAACTTCCCCTTTTCTGAAGACAATGGAGAAATTACTTCTCCTTGTGATTGAGCCTTCATTGATGGCCTTCAGAGATCCAAAACAGTTTGCTTACAAACACCGGAGGAGTACTTTAGATGCAGCTACTGTCTTGCATCATAATATTGTTTCTAGTCTCGACAAAGGTGTTAAGTATGTCCGTTGTGCCTTTTTGGATTACTCATCAGCCTTTGACTCTGTTCCTAGACCACTTTTGTTAAATAAGCTTGCCATAGCTCACACTGATCCATGGGTTACAAAATGGCTGCATTCTTATTTTTCTGAAAGGAAACAGTACACTATTCATAAAGGGTGCGCTCGACTTCATTGCTTACTGAAGCTGGTGTGCCTCAAGGTGCTGTACTTTCTCCTTTTCTGTTTTCCTTTTTTTGCACGATTTGCCTTATTCTGTTGAAACTAATTTTATCAAGTATGCTGACGACCTGACGATTTCTATTCCAGTAAACTCTTCTTTGGATTGCTCGAAATTAAATGAATTCTTGTCTGAAGTTGGCAAATGGTCTCAAACTAAACCCCTCTAAATGTCAGACTGTTAATTTTAGCCTCAGGCGTAAACAAGACTTATGTGAGCTGCTTAAATCTCATGACGCCTGCTGCATCAATGGTATTTCTGCAGAAAGTAAATCGAGTGTGAACTATCTTGGGTTGGGTTTTACTTCTGACCTTTGTTGGTCGTCCCATATTTTATTGACTTGTAAAAAATCTTTCGTTTAACTTATTACGTAAAGAAATTGAGGCTTTCTGGTATAACTCAACTGCTTCTTTTACAATTTATTAATTCCTGCATTTTACCTATTCTTCTATATTGTTCCCCATTAATCTTTCCTGGTCTTCTTAAAAAGGACTATGTTATGTTGCGTAGGGCTTTGAAGACCGTCAGCAGGGTGAGTGGTGTGTCTCTGGCTCAACTGATTAACACTGTAGTTGATCGACATATAAATTCCTGCAAGCTACTAGCTACAGAAATTTTAACTGACAGTGAGCATCCACTTCATTTACAGCTCTCTCCATGTATCTCCTCAGGGAGGACAAGGAGAAACTACATAAGACTGTATGCTCGTACAGCTAAGTATAAGAATTCGACTGTACCTTACCTTGCACGCATATTTTGTGAGGAAAAAAGTGTTAGAACAGAAATCACACATCAACTTTGTGACAGTTAAAAATCTCATTTCAATAATTTAACTTACAATGCAAAATTTTCTCGTTTTTAATATTCTTCACATAACTTAAATTTTTATAATAAAACAATTCGAAAGGCTGCAAAGTAGTATGTATATACTTATATTTTGTTGTTATTGCAATATATATTACGCTGAGAATTCCAAATTGTACCACAAATTGTTTGGAATAAAGTGAATTATTATTATTATTATCAATAATAATCTTATTATTAATTTTTCACCTCCTAGGCTTCATTTCCACTTTAATCAACTCATCTAACAGTCAGTTTTCATGATTTACTGATGGGTAACATTAAGTTCTCCTGATAACTTCTAAACTTCAGTGAAAATGTGTAAATGGTCTAAGAGCTCAGCCTAACTTAGATAGCATGTGCATTTTATGCTGAAATATCCTCACTCGTGATCATAAACACAGTGTACGATAACCACAGGAAAAGTAGAAAACTAAAGACTTGAGACCTGCAAATTGTTTGGTAATTATTCCTTTCATTATTCAATGTAATTGAATAAGATCGATTTCAAAGAAAACCCAATATTAATACTTTTATTACTTCCACCAATGTTTGCCTGAAGTTACGTAGATTACATTCAAGCAGAATTAAAAAATTCAGTTACCTTGAATCGTTAGTATTTTCAAGCCAATAAGAAACTTCAACGTCCACATAGACTATTATTGTTTTGAATAAAAATTTTGTTAACAATATCTAAAATAAATTTGCAAGACAGCCCACTGTGTAGGATTATCTTAAGTTATTTGTCAATTCTCCATATTTCTTCAAGTGTTCATTTTACAGTTAAAGGAATCAGAAATGAGCAGCTCATACTAGGTTACTGTTTAGTACTGATACACTTAGCATAATATCCTAAGCTGACCCCTAATTTAACCCAAGAACGCTGATATATTATTCAGCGAAAGAGAGCAGTAATGTTGGGAACGAATGGGTAGGAGGCCATGCTTAACCTAGGTTTTGTGTTTTTTCACACTCACTGATAAGGAAGCACATCTGCAACGATACTGAAAACGGTGTTCGATTCGCATCACTCAGAACCAAAGTCAGAGGTTTTACTTTTGAATCTGAATATCTTAGAAAAGGAGAAAATACTTGACCAGCAGATCATCTTTTCAGCACCGATGCTGTCTTTTGAGATAATTTCAAATATCTGTACCCTTGAAATTAAGGTGAGAAATTTCGTGCCTAATGTTTTGACTCTACAGGATTCTAATGTCTAGCTTTAGGTTCAAAAGCTTGATCAGTAAACCTAGATACGTTTGTGTAACAACAGCACACAATTCGATGCGAAGATGCTAAATTTTTACGCCTAAAGCTTAAGATTTGGACAAATTACGCACTGTTTAACTTTGAAATGTTGGAGAATATCTGTAGCTCAGGTGGATGGTCTTGGTTGTATTGTGTTCACTGAGCTGATTTGTTTAGTCGTAGAGCTTTCATCGTCTTACTAGACAACATCTGAAGATGTCAGCTCAGAGAGCGCAATACAACCAAGAGTGTTTAACTCGGAATAAAATTTATAAATTTGCCCACTGACTTCATCCACCAAAAATGGCAGCGAACAACTCACTCGCTTCTGATGGGTTATTTGAAAAATGGGAGAATGCCTCAGTTCCATTGACCTTAATTAATACAGTGGGCTTCATATATGGTCAAACAGGTTTTAACATCTGTATGTCTTCAAACACCAAGACCATACTTTCAAGACCTGTAATACACATAGTAGCCCACATTACGAGTTTGCTTACCGGTTATTTAGTAAGAATTTGGGTGTTTTCATCTCTGTAGTCTTTTTGATCAACAAATCTCCGAGTTAAGTGATTAAACTATATGTGAACTGTAAACCTGCCTTTTTAAAATTAGACGCATATGTGTAGGAAAATTTTGAAATTAAATTTTCTACTAGGATCGTTTAAAATTCATCTGATGAAATATGCTCACATTTTTCAGAAAAGTTCAATGATGTTTGTCATTTTCACTTCTAAGAACTAGTAAATACTATTATCTACTTTTCATTTAAACACATAGCTGTTTCTACGTGCTGTTGGTTTAAGTCCATGGGAAGGTGCACAAACCGCCTTATATTGTGTTCTAATCAATGATCCAGTACCTGGTGGTTATTATTCGAATTGTGATATTGAACAGTTAACTGAGAAAGGGATGAATGAATCGCTTGGAAGAAAGTTATGGTCAGTATCTCGTGAAATGGTTGACTTACCACCGAATTTATTAAGTTATTCATGAGAACTCATTCCCTATTTCCATTGTTTTAAAATATTATGATTATTATCATTAATTTATACTTTCTTCCATCTTATCGCTTTTCTGGTTCACAGTTTTTCTGTGACACTCTTCTTATTCCATCTTCCAATGTTATTTATATGATGTTTTAATTTTTTTAGGTTCAAAAATAAGTTGTATCAACTGCTATGCATCTTTATCTTACTTTAGAAAACATTGTGTATGTGGGTCTACCGATTATTATTATTATTATTATTATCATTATTATTATTATTATTATTATTATTATTATTATTATTATTATTATTATTATTAGACATCGCCTTGATTGTGACTATAACTCGTTCACCTGTCGGTGATGGCTTGACATAATCAATGAACTGCTTGGATTCTAGCTTTAAAGAAAATTAACACTAGATTAAAATATCACCATTAAAAGATAACGAGATTAATCTAAAGATGGTAACAGAAATGCAATAATGAATGACATGTACACCTTTTTTTAAAAATAAAACATGAATATATGCACACAGTCGTGTTACTGAAAAAAAGTAGAAATTAATCAGTTAGTGGTCTGAAAATATAATGTTGAAATTATCCACCCACCAACTGCAATTCGGATGATGCAAAGAACGAATTCTGTCAGCTGTGTCGAACCTGAAACGATGCAAAGCAGGTGGACCTGGTAGTTTGTCATCTGAGATTTTCAAGGATGGGAGTAGGAAATTGTTGATTATAGTGATGGAGGTACTAGGCAGTGTATGGGAACTAGAGATAGTGCTGGCTGACAAGTCTTGCTCACTGGTCATCCCAGCTTATAAGAATGGGGAGAAATTTTATTGTAACAACCATAGGAGTATTGGTTTGACTAGTGTTGTGGTCACGATGCTAGGGTCTATAGTTATCCGACACCTGACTGGAGCTCGAAAAGAACAAACTCGAGAAAATCAGGCACATTTGAGGGGTTTCTGCACGAGGGTGGATCAATCATATTTTCATCCTCCGACGGATTCGGGAACATGGACATACCTACCTGCAGCCGACACTTATCATGTTTCTTGACTTGTAGGTGGCATTCAACTCCATCGACCATGAGATATTGTGGCAGTGTCTGACTGTGAAGGGAGCACCGACCAAGTATATAACGCTAATCGAAGCTCTCAACTTGAACTCACGCTAACATTTCAAGACTTATGAAGAGTTGTCAAGTCGGTCGACAACAACTGGTGGTGTTCGCCAGAGATGCTGACTGTCACCGTCGGTATTTGACTTTTTTATAGGCGTACTAACAGACATATCTTAGGTATATCTGACTTTATAGAGATTGAACTACTTCCTGGAGGTCATTCAGTTGACTTGGAATATGCAGACGATATTTTCCTACTAGGTGAAGATGCTGAGAAAATGCTGGGTGTTGTGAACGCATTGACCAGAAATCTGAGTATGTTAGGCAGGCATTCGTTTGTACTATATTTGGAAATATTCTCTATTAGTCAAGGAATCATAAATTAATTCAATCGTGTAATACATATTCGATCCTAAAAGATGTTAATGAATTCTAACGAAGAAGCAAACATCTGCCTCACTGACATTGACTTACCATGCAGACGGCACTCAGATGACATAAACGTGATAGGGGAAGACTGAGTGCCTTGAGCAGAAATGTGAGCAGGTTTGGTTGGTATACGATTCTCAGATGACGATTCAGGATTGGTCTCCACTGACTCCCAGTTTAAGAATAGTGAGTAAAGTAGTGGGACGCATTGAGCCCTTTGCTAGCTTGGAAAGTTGCATCAATCCAAATGAATTGATTGTTGGCGAAATCTCAGCTCATTTACGAAAGACTTTTGACATTTGCCAATGTATACCATTTAAAGCGTTGGCAAGACACCTAATTGCCTATCAAACGACTGAGACTGACTTTCGATAGTAAAAGTCATGAACAGGTTTTCGAATCCAAGTGTCGTCGTATTATTCCTTGCGTGTTGTGGAATCACCGCGTAGGCAATGGTGAGGTTAAGCGCATGGTACTACGCAAGAAAGGTAGGTCGGTCAGTGAGGCTCAGAACCTTGATTGACTACTTAGTGAAGAGTAACGGATCTCAGGTTGCCTAGTCCTGGGTGGTAACCGAATTCCACCAATTATCGTGCAGTGTGGCCACCAAGTTAAGACACTTACCATCACGATGCACTTTGATAGTTGTCAGTTAGTTGGAGGTAGTCGGTAGGAATCCCTAGACTACCAGCCACTGACATGACTTAGATATGTGTTACGCATACTGAGCCATTACCTCTATCGATGTGCAGTGTTAGCTGAGACAGGAATGGGTTACATGAAGCCTTAGGTTAGCTATACCAAGGTGTGTCCCCACTCAGTGAAGTCTTCGAATGTTAGTTTGAGCAGTAGGGAGAGGGTAGACTTGCTCGCTGGGGTTATGGAGATGAAAGGAATTAATGGTTCGTGACATGACTGGAAATCGATCGCAACAGCGCAGATATACACACCCTTTATTATCACTATCAATATCGAAATTCTGAACATTTACACTAACCCACATTTATGTATTCCCTCTACTGTCATATACTTTTGTTTAATTAAATATCGGCAGCTTTCTACCTACTTCTATGCATGCTGTTTGGAGGTGTGAAGGCCTAAACTGATGAACTTCTGTGCCACGTTCTGCGTTGCTTTTTTTTAATGTTATAATTTTAAACGTTCGAATGGTAACTCGGTGATAGAAAGAAACTTCAGTCGGTTTTGTTTGCGAAGAATGTGTTCACTCATCAGTTTGTGTTGGTCATGACGATAAGGCAAATATGAAGCAAAGACTTGATGTAGTATGCAAGGTAGATATAAGATGTCTTACATTCTTCCGCAGGATGAACTATCTGTACCACACCATTTGTTGGGAAAACAAAGAAATAATCAATCCTCACCTTACACATCAATCAGTTATAATCAGATAACCAAATGAATGCTAACAGAAAGCTTCAACCAGTTTATCCAGCATTCAAATTTCAATAAAATAAGGATAATTTTCGTAAAAAGATATGAAATTTGACTATTTCAAGAACTGTTCTCAGCGAATTACAATGTGAAAGATGCTTAACATATCTAGCAAAAAAAAGAAACATACACGTAATTTTATTAGGTTGTGAAAAAGGCATTGGATAAATTAGAAGACTTTCAGTGGAGTCGCTCTTTTCAGTAATATCATTCTCAAACTGAATGATAGCATGGAAATATTATATTTACATGGTAACAGAAAAAAACCGTTTCATTAAATATATTTTGGCAAAATTTCCTTTTGATTATAGATCAAGAAATCGGAAAAATGAATTATGTAGTGTTTAGAATAGTAATGAGAACAAGACTTATCAAGACCGAAGCAATATAAAGTTACATGATGTAATCTGGTTAAAAGTATTGATGAGTGAATGCAATGAGAAATCAGAATTTTAAAAGCCAAAAAATATGATGTAAGAGATTGATTCGTTATTAGGCAGGTGAGAAAAAAGGTTATAGGGGTTATATGTTTCCATAAGTCATTTCTATTGCAACTCGAGTGAATGGGCGAATTTCTTTCGTTTGTAGAATTCAGGCTTCAAAATATGAATTTTCATAGCTCCCAAAGTTTGAAGTTATTTCAGCCATATACTTTTCATGAGGCTTACACGAATTCTATCGATGACAATGAAGTTATTTTCTGCATTTATCCAACAGTCGGGATCGATCAAATGTTCTAATATGCAGTTGTGAGGTGTGCTCTTCTCTCCTTTGGGGGGACAGGCTGTGTTCGAAAACACGTTTAGAAAGCGAACGCTGAGTACTTCCAACATACTTTACTCCATAGAAGCAGGTGAGTTGATAAACACAAATAAACGTGACCAAAAAGCTAATTCATTCATTACACATAATCAGAGCATTGGGTAAGTAGATAAAGTTAGTCTGAGTTCAGCACTACAGTCTTCACCATTAAGCCTTCCAAACGCTTTCTTACATTTCTGGGGAAAAGAAGCTCATGTTGAACCGGATGATAAAATGATTCGGACCTTGAAAGCAATATGCAGGTGATACCTTCATCATCTCTTGTGATAAAAGCAATACACGAAATATCTTATGTCAGTTTGATTTCAGGATGGTATTCATCATGGGCTGACATCAACTGCAGGAACATTGGAAACTGGGCCCACTGGACAGATTTTTTGTCCAAATATGGGACTCCGTAGAGGTGAGCAACCATGACCCTTACACGGATCGGACCCATGGCCCTTAGAGCAGATTACTACTGACCCAGTGGGTAGGAATCCAGTGGCCCATATTTTCTACTCTTTTCACTCTACGACAGTGCAAACTCCATCTAATGCCGTCGTTGATTAACTGTCCTCATATTCGACTTGTTTGTTACCCCGGATGACAACTTATCATCGGAACTTCCGGAATCACCTCATAAACCTATTCATCAATGAGTACCAGATCAATTCAATTTTGAGATTTATTTATTGATTTCATGTTGGTATTAAATATAAGCTGACTTCAGTTAAGGAAACATTGGAGTAGTAGACAGGTCACCATTGTAGGGAAGACAAAGTCCATGTTACAGGACAAACTAAAACAACATATAAACGATTACATCACATCCCACTATGTTTATCAATTTACATGTATGTATGGATACGCATACACAGAGAGGAGTAATCGTGAAATGCAGTTAAGGATGGTTGAACATAAACCTGAGTGACTTGAAAAACAAATGACCTCAACAGATCCGATAAGTGCAGGTGATAAACATCCATCTTTGTCTATCGCTTAACATATACTAGAAGCCAACCATAGGATAGACATGAAAACAGCCTTTTAAGTACTACATAAAAGTGGTTAGAACCGAGTGCTTAAATTTATCGAAGCTCTAGACATCCATAAATTCAAACCCCCTGCTTTATGTATACAAAAACAATTTGTACTCACGTTGAACCTATCTTGGTGGTATTGATTTTAGTTTTCATACCAAGAGTAGTGTGATAAAGATTTTGTTTTTTTCTTCTTCTCTACCCTTCCTATTCCTATATTTCCTACTAATTTCATTGACCCTTTTCGTAAATTTCCATATAAATAGCTCGACAAATCCATGGGTGATCGGATTGTTCGAAATGTATAGCGCTAATACATTACATGTTTCCGATAATCTTCATTTTCTCATTAAGCTATTGAAATTTATCAAGGGGATTTAATTGCTTTCAACTTCAACCTAGTTTATCAGATGAATCATATAGTGAAGCAGAATTATTATTTGGGGTATAACGTTTCGGACATAATTAGTTGTCCATATTCATGTCAGAATAACTCGACAACGTTGAGGAATGCTTTATAGGGTTACCTTGTTTGTGATTCAGGTAGGGAAATTTCTCCAGATATCCCCAACACGTACTAAAACATTCCTATTGCATTTGGTTGGTGTTAGCTCGATAGACATAGACTCAAACACACTAATAATTAGAATGAATAGTCAGAAATTACTCGCTGTGACCTGGCACGCTTTTCTACAGACTTTTTATGTTACTAATATCTACCAACCTTAATTTACTCTAACTTTTCTGCTGGAATAGCCTAATTAACCTTGATTGACTTTGTTGACCTTGCAATAATTGCAAGCGATTCGGTAAGCCAAATTATTTTGTTTAGCTGACTCAGTGAGACCTATCAACTTGTAAAGCTTGTTTCCCAGTGAATTTTCAGGCTTAAGTACCATTTTAATCCCACCATTACTGAGAATCCTACACAATGTCTTTGGGGTGCCTTCGTTGTGTACCAACACTTGAGAGGCCATCAATAATGATATTATTATTTAGACAGTTATTCACCGCATCAATGATCCATCGACATTGCTGCATACTGCAGCATTTAGTAAGATGGGCTCCAACAGATAATAAAAGAGATGAAGTATGTTGGGGTTTTAAGCTTGCCTCACCGACAGCTGTCAGCCAACATGTAGTATTGTGAAGCTTTGCTGCGTTGATGGCGACGTCTAGTATGACATCGAAACGTTTTTCAGCTAGGAATAACTGAAGATCAAATAACAATTCAAATTCAGCATCCATATTATGAGTGATGTATTCACTAAAATTTCTAGAAGCAGTAATCATTACCACTAGACAATCAAGAAAAAAAACTTCTGAGTGGATGAAAAACGTTTGAAGCGCGGAAACTAGATACTTTAGCTTAAGATTAGGTTATATACACAATAGATTCACTTCTGGAATTTATTACACTGTCAACATGTCACAATACAATAGTAAAAAACAGAAAATCAGTTGTAAGTAAATTTAGTCCTTGTAATTCGATGATACAAATAATGCACAGAAAATGTTTATCATTTAGAAGTTGAACTCTGAATTCAACAACTGTTTAATCAAATTTTGAAATAGTTCTAAACGAGATAAATTATTCGCCTTCAATGTTTCAATAAATGCATGATCATTCCCATCGTGATCATCATCATCATCATCATAACCAACGTTGCCAATTTGTTTTTCTAATAAAAATGGATCATATTCAAAGTGGACACCGCTTAAAATACCATAACCGCTGCCTAACTTCGAGGCTATAATAGCTGGTTTACCACTATCTGAGCTATGGAAAAATAAGTAGGAGAGAGTAGAAAATAAATGAATATGTATTATAATCTATATTAAGATAACAACAAAGACTAGATTTTTCGAATACCTGCCGTCACTCTACTGAAGACAGATTAATAAATTTAGAAATGTGAAGCAAAAATCCTGGAATAACTTGCGATTCATTGCTATTTGCAAACATGAGGCATCGTTAAATATACGGGATAGAATTGAGAAAATGAACGATAAAGAATTACGGGAAAAACTAATAAAACTAGAAGTTGTATGGGTTTCAGTCTTCGTCTTTGATTCACAATCCACACAGCATTTTAGTTGGGAGTTACCAATGGAAACCTTGATGACATAACAGTTGAGTCGTTAAAAACACTGATCTGTGAAAGATATAATCGTGAATCGTGAAGTTGTATATTGATAGTTAAGTTCACAAAGCCTCTTGAAAAAAATGCTCTAAACTTGAGGTATTTTTTTACATCTGGTTGTACTGCTCATTAGTGAATAATGTTTTAGCAGACGTTTTATTCTGTTTTTATTTATTGTTGACATAATTCTTTATCATAATCTAGTTGGCAACTAGGAGGAGAACATCTATACATCGTGGTTTCATCAAAATCGACTTTTACAAACTATGGATCAAGCAAAAGTTGAGGCTAGATAATCTTAAATATGAGCCCGTAGTTATTATTAAATGTTATATATATATATCTGATCTAGAGGCGGTGGATAGGTTTTGTCTGATTGGATCTTGTGTACTACTGGAAGCATGCAAGTAGTCGACACTTCCCAGCTCGTAACACTGTGGAAGGTTAGTTGTTCTAGAGTTACCTCAAAAAGAAGGGCTAGTGAAAGACCGTAGAGACCAAGGGACATGTACTTGGGGCCGGTCGCACACACCCTTTTCGAAAGTCCGAGATTTTGGTTTCTCGCTTCTGAACCCGACTACTAATCCCTGCTGCAGGCATCCGTATGCTGCGACGGGGGTGAGAGTATACTATTTTGGAGCCAACCTATCCTACACTCCTCCTGACCGTTATCTGCTGGGCTGCTGAGTCATGAAAGTCACATATTGCCTATTATGTATCCATGGTTATTTACTGATACTCCTACATATACCGAAAAAATATCGACAGAACTGTATTTATTAATTCATAAATTTCAATAGCTTAATGAGAAAATGAAGATTATCGGAAACATGTAATGTATTAGCGCTATACATTTCGAACAATCCGATCACCCATGGATTTGTCGAGCTATTTATATGGAAATTTACGAAAAGGGTCAATGAAATTAGTAGGAAATATAGGAATAGGAAGGGTAGAGAAGAAGAAAAAAACAAAATCTTTATCACACTACTCTTGGTATGAAAACTAAAATCAATACCACCAAGATAGGTTCAACGTGAGTACAAATTGTTTTTGTATACATAAAGCAGGGGTTTGAATTTATGGATGTCTAGAGCTTCGATAAATTTAAGCACTCGGTTCTAACCACTTTTATGTAGTACTTAAAAGGCTGTTTTCATGTCTATCCTATGGTTGGCTTCTAGTATATGTTAAGCGATAGACAAAGATGGATGTTTATCACCTGCACTTATCGGATCTGTTGAGGTCATTTGTTTTTCAAGTCACTCAGGTTTATGTTCAACCATCCTTAACTGCATTTCACGATTACTCCTCTCTGTGTATGCGTATCCATACATACATGTAAATTGATAAACATAGTGGGATGTGATGTAATCGTTTATATGTTGTTTTAGTTTGTCCTGTAACATGGACTTTGTCTTCCCTACAATGATGACCTCGGCTGCACAATATGTTTTACAGATGGCCGATCTAAGTGTTTTCCTCACAACGAAGCTATTTGAATCATCTGTGAGTGGTAATGAGATGTAGACATTTGTCTTATCAACGGAACACTGTGTACTTTTCAATGATACATAACGTTTGCACCTGTTGATAAGTTTCAACGAGTAGCCATTCTGTATCAGTGTTGTCGTCAGTAAAGTTGGTTTCTTCCTCCTTGGTGTCATCGGTGCAGATGAAGTTTATCTCGTTGAATAAACATCTTACTAAACCGCGTTTATATTGGACTGGGTAATAGCTATGAAAATTAAGATATTGCCTTTCCATGTAGGTTTTTTACAGATCGACCTGCATATCGAGTCGTCATGTTTCGGATAAGCTTCTTCTCAATACGCTGTTTAAATGTATTTAGTAAATCCAATCCATTGATTATAATACAGTATCTGTCAACCATACTGTCAGAGGGATAAATGTAAGCTTCAAGAAACACAGACTACGTCTAAAGTGGATTCCGAAAACCTCAGCAGAGGTTAAAAAGCTAGAAAAAAAAATCAGGAATCGGTCTTCACTCCATAGAAATAAGCCACAAAACTGACTTTGACGGAACCAAAGCTCTACAAAAAAGCTTTGCGTCATACCAACAAAGATTGACACGGAAAGCCTTACTATATGGGTAAATCCAGATAGATTGAACAGACGAGATGGACTATAGTTAGCTGCCTCTTAGTAATTACTAAGTTGTAAGCAGAACGAGTAACTCTATCACTTAACCTTCAACATCAGTCTCAACTTCATTATCTCTACAGCAACAACAACAAACCATCGGGATTGATTTGACTCATTATTATTATTATTATTATTATTATTATTATTATTATTATTATTATTACCATTCATTTCTACTTTATTCCAACAAATCAATCATAAAAAAGTTTGTTTATGCTTATTCATGCTTATATAATCAACCGAAATTACACATCTCCGCCTCACATCCTCTATTTTACTGATGAAATTACCGAATGACTACAATGCCACCTGTGACCTTTTCTGTCTTGTATTTAGAATCAAGGAAAATAGAAATAGCAGCACACACCATAAAATAAGAGATGTACAATTTTACATTGAACGATTAGTAACCATAATCAATGACTATGCGAAGAGGATTGGAAAGGAGCTTGAGTATACATGTCTTTGAATTCATTTTTATGAATCCTTGATGTTTTAATTTTGGATTATTCCCCTGGAGAAGATTGAACCAGACTTCCGTGTAAAACGTTAGAATTCCTGTACTTCAAACAGACTGTAACTTACACAAACATAAAGTATATCTAATGTTAATCTTTTATTCAGCTCCTAATATTTGTGACAGTATTCCGTCAAATCTTGATCATAGTTCATACAAAGAACTCTATTTGTTCACTGTGTCATTTACAGAAGTCATAGAGACATCCTGTGCGTTAACTTAAGAGGAGAGGATTATCTACCAAGATTGGTCGCCATATGCTACATGAGATAAGGGATCGTCTCATTAGTGTTGAACAAAATCAGCCATATTTGATACCAGATTCTGATTTTAGTAAGTAAGGGACCTTCCTACGCTGTCACGCATTTATACCATTGCCGTGGTCAGAGTACAACATTTGGCTAGCATAACGAAACACACTTCATTGACATAGAGTTGATTCTTTCTACTGAGAATCAGGTTCATGAAGTCAAGAATGAAAAACATTTATTCAGAAGACATATATGCTGAAATAATTTTGCAAATTTGTACACCTAATTTATTACCTGTACAAAGTTTGTTTTCCGACCTTCAGTGATCGATCTTATTTGGTACATGGGCCATAATCCAGAGGCCTTTAATAACACCTATATTTCAATCTTACTAATATTTATATGTCCCTTGGGTTTCTAGTGAAACATAAGGCTCCAGTAGCACATCTCCATTGGACTCTGTTCTCTGCAGTCTTTTGAACCTGCCTCCACGACTGCCCAGAAGCTTTCATCTCTTCATCACATGATTTCCTCCATGTTACCCTCGCCTCAGACGCCCAACTCATTGTTTCCCGTGTGCGTTCCACTCAACGGCCTGACTTGGCGCGTGATGTCCCCGAATGGTCTTCTCAGTGTATGCCCAATCCATCTCCACTTGCTTCTACACTTCTGTTGGGCGATAGATTCTTGGTTGGTTCGTTGGCATGCCAGATTGAGTTCCTTGTTGCTTATTCTTATTATTCTATCCATCTGATCTTCAGTATCGAGTAAGCGTAGGCGGCAGCTGCTGATGAGTGTCTGTAGTTTGTTGGAAGTGCTTTCCGTGACGCGCCAAGTCTCTCAACCATCACAAAGAAGCACTGACTTGACTGAATTCGTGTTGAAAATCCGGATATTGTTCACGTTTTATGCTGAGTGTAGTGTAGTGCAGTGCAGTAGATCTCCACACTGATTTCAGATTAATGAAGGCCTGTCTTCCTTTTCCTATCCTGGCTTTGAGGTCCACATCTGTGCCACCTGTAGTTGAAACGATGCTGCCTAGGTAGGTGAAAGAGAATACTTCCTTTAGCTTTCTCCCGGTGATGGTGATTGGTGCTTGTTGTTGTTGGTTGGTTGGATATCTTCATCACCTCTGTCTTCTCTACATCCACTTGAAGTCCTGTTTTCGTTGCCATGCTTCTTCTGTCAACTTGTCGATTTTTGCCTGTAGATCTTTGAGTTTGTGCGACAAGACATTAGACATAAATCATCATCGGCGGCGAAATCCAAATCTTATAGGCTCTTTTCATCGGTCAAGCCAGTGTATGCCCATCTTCACACAGCTCCTCACTGTTTGCTGCATGATCCGGTCGAGTCCATCACAATCACGAAGATAATGGGTGATAGTAGGCGGCAGCCTTGTCTTACTCCTGTCTTCACTTCAAAGACATCATTGAGCTTTCCATTGTGAATCACTTGGCATGTAGCATCATACAGCATATAGCTGTTGAATGAGGTTGATAAAGATTAGTGGCACTCCGTAGTGTTGGAGCAGCAGTTTCCAAATTACTTCTCAGTCGACGCTGTCGAAGGCCTTTTCAAAGTCGATGAAGTTGAGGTTGAGGTAGAGAGTTGACTGCCATTCTATACTCTGTTCTATGATGATGCGTAGCGTAGTGTTACAATTTGATCCGCATATGATCTATTCTTCCTGAAGCCTGGTTCAGTCGTAGTTTTGACTCCAGAGCATCCTTTAGTCTCTCCAGGATGATGGGGGCATAATATTTTGCTTGGGGTGGACAGCAGCGTGACTCCAGGCCAGTTCTTGCAAAGGCTTAGGTCTCCCTTCTTTGGGAATTTGACAAGGTAGACATTCTTCCAATCAATCAGAATGTACCTTTCCTTCCTTCCTTCGTAACATTCTGCAGTAGTGGTGTCAGCATGTCCGCTACTGTTGTCTCTGCATCTGTTTTCAGTGCTTCTGGCGGAATTCCATCTGGTCCTGCTGCTCTCCCGGATTTCAGCACCTTCGTGGTATTCAGGACTTCTGCTTTTGTCGGAGGGCTTGTGTATGTGTGTGCATCATTGCGCGCACTCTTCTTCACTTCTTTGTCCAGTGTTTCATACGCTGTACCCAGTTCTTCTTTTCGTTGCGCATCATTGCACTGGTTCATCTTCTGCTTCACCATCTTCCTCTCCCTCCTCTATCAGCTTCCATGTGAAGATCCGTCGAGGTCCATTCCTTATCTTCTTTCTTCTTCCTTCAGAATACGGTTATGCAGGTTTCTTTCCACATAGCTTTCAAAGAGTTCCAGTGTTCTTCCAAGCAGGTTTCCTCGGGGATGTTGCTTTATGTTTCCCATTTCGTCCTGATGGCTGACAACGTGAAGATCTCCTTTGTAGTTCCCTGCTTCAGTTCAGTTTCTGTTCTGGGTGGTTGTTCAACTTGAACTGTGGTCGATCATCACCAACTTCTGTGAAGGCTTTCAACTTGATTTTGAAGGTAGGTTCCTTGTACTAGATAGTGAAGTGAGTGGTGTGAAGCTACAACTACTCCTCTTCTTGATCTGATCTTGTGTCCAGTAGGCTGTGTCTCCATCTCCCCTTTCTTCACATTGGGATGAAGTCGATCCGATGTTTAGTGTAGTGTGTCCTGGTGTCTGGTGAAATCAAATCCATGTCGCTGCCTTGTGAATATCCTTGTGTTCGTACACAGTGCCTGACTCCAATCACCAAATCGTTGAATGCGCACAAGTCTGCAAACAGTTCTTTATTCTCGTTCATCATTTCACCGAGTGCTTCTCGACCCATGCACTGTTCTCTTCCTGTATTGTCTGCTCCCAGTTTGGCATTCATGTCACCCACCCCACACATTAGAATGAATTTTGATGTCGCCAACTGGGTTGAGGTCTTGTCCAGTACTGATTTCAGTTGTCTATAGAATTCCTCCTTCTTCTCTTGATCTGCATTGTTTGTAGGTGCGTAGCGTAGCATAGCATTGTATGATTGTGACTTTCCTTCCTTTTGATTTGTATCTTGCTGTCATGATCCTGATCTTGGAGAAGACTGGTTCCCACTGCATGAGAGAGAGAGCCTTCGATGCTCTTGGGGACATCATGATAGCCACTCCAAAACTCAGTATGCTCGTGGTTGTCGTCTGGGTGACAATATCGGAGTAGATTACTGACTCTCCAGTTGACAGTTTGGAGAGTCCACTCCCATTCCATCTGCTTTCATAGATTCCTAGCACTTCTATGCTTTACCTTCTCATTTCTTTTGCAATCTGGGCTTTAGCCTTGGTAGGTTCAAACATTGTGCGGACATTCCATGTCCCCATGTTTACTTTTGCTTTCATCGATAGAAGAGAAGACACATCGGCCAACTGGCTTCCTGAAGGCTTTCACCGACCGGCGTCATTTCGCCTCTCCGATTCCAGCGAGGAATAGGTTTATTTTTTATATTTTGTTTGTGCTTTGAAGTTTTTTTGGCGATTGTATTGGTTTTCTGGGGATAGCAACTAGTGAACTAGTTAGCCAGGCGAGGGTTTTGAATTTTATAATAATGATATAACTGCTAGCAGTGGAAGCCAGGACGCGGATTTCATCGTATTCGAGAGTCGGTGGCCTAGTGCACAACGCCGTAGTGTTTGAAGCGATTGGTGCCTGACTCGGGTATAAGTGATAACAATATCGCTCACTAGGAGGCAGGCAAATCCAGCTGACAAGTCCGAAACAAAACAAAACGTGCGTCGTGTGTTCCTACTGCTAGGCTATGTTCGACAATAATGTAAAATTAGTGCATCTAGTTTGAAAAATTGCTTTATTAAACTCGACTACTCATGAGTAGTAAATCTACGGTGTTAAAACCTTGTATGAAGGACAGGATATTAATCGAAGAGTCTCTTTTCAACGAATTTATTTTCAAGCGGTACACTCCTATATATGGAATGGTCCATATATTATGTAATCCACTTTGTTATCATTCACAATTCAATTGTTGTCATAACCAGAAGTGCCCATGTCATCATCCGCTCTATTATTATTGTCATCATCAACATACAGTGTTTAGTTTTCGTAACGGGATACAACTTTTCAGATACCATATATATACAAATGTATAGCTTGAAAATAGATTCGTTCAAAAGAGTCTCTTCGCTGAATATCTTTTTCTTGATGTTACGATGGGAATTATTAGGACTTTATATGAACAGTAAGGTGTAAATCTAAGTTATCATGTAAAATATCCTCAACTGATTTGAGGATCCATCTGCGTTAATTTTTCAAACTAAGCAACAGTAACGAAACCTAAAATTTTGTTCCTATGCAACTTCGACACGGAAAACTGACTACAGTGGCCAGCTTGAGGAACAGTTGTCTAAGGTTCACTGTTATGCAGTGGTTGTAAAGTACATAGTGACGAGTTGAATGATTCGTATAATCAAATAGATAAGTTGAGGCTAAACATATCAACCAGTTCGGTCAGTCAATATTGACATGGGACTTGGCGTAACTGCATAACTTTCCACGTTCCCACACCTCACAGTACCAAACCAAGAGGAAAAATGGAGAAATGGAAAAACAACGCAATCGAAGTCAACGAAAAAAGAGGAAGACAGAGTGAAATAAAAAAGCGTTATAACGATTACAATGAAGATACTATCTGTATGCATGTGTTAGTAGAGATGTGGCTCATCGGTTTAGGAAATTGACTTTCAACCAGTGGGATCATGGGTTTAAACACCGCTTCACCTACCAGGGTGTGGGACAGCCAGTTAGTATCGTTCGCCCTCACACACGATAGATTTGGCTTGTTGCCTACTGCACGAATGTGCACAAGGTTGCTAACAGCATTTCAATTCCGTTTCGCATCTCGATTACTCGTATTGATGTAGTTCATTCATAGAAAACAGAAATGTAACTCTAAATATGTACAGGTTCACATACTGGTCTACCAATGCTACCCGACTACTAATATTTAGATGTGAATAGAGGAGTATTCAAAACTGAGACCAAACGATTACTCGCTGAGTACCTGAACCAATGACTGAATGACTAGGACCCACACAGTGTACGCTAATGCTCATAGTTTAAGGGTTTAAAAAAGTTATGTGTGTGGATGGATGAAGATCCATGAAACAGAAAGAAACAACTATCCAATGTAACTGCTTGAATTCAACTTTGAATGCAGACTACTGGTTAGAATTTATAATTACGCGAATTAGTCACCAGTTGGTAACCAAATTAGTTGTCTATTCCTTACTCCATAGAATTTATAATTAAATTACCAGACTTACTATTCGTACAGAACTTGTGAATTATCCCAATTGACAGATCCAAAAGTACATCCACCGTTATAATATACTACAGTTGTCTGTGGGTTAAGATCTTTGGAGGTAGCATGAATAGGAACTGCATAACTGCCATTTTCACTGTTATACTGAAAACCTGGATAAACTGGACCTGAGGCAGTACCTTTGCGGAATAAAAGTTAAAAATTTAAGTTGGAATTCATAACAATTAAAACAGACTAACCTTGAAAAAGTTTATATACCTTTCGCCAGTCACTTCTAGTGGTCCACCAATACCAAATGAACAATAGTCACATGCGAAATACGCGCCAGCGCATATACCAAGATATTTTCCTCCATGATTTTGAATATAATCATGCAATTTTAAACAACCAGATACTTTTAGTGAAGTTAGATAGCCTAAATCATAACCTCCACCAAAACATATTAAATCTGGTGCAATAGTATTATTTTGTTGATTTAAAATTGTTGCGTTGACTTCTTCAGATGAAAATGATAATGTTGAACACTGTTGAAATGCCTTTTTTAAATGGATTAGGCATCTTTCTGATGCACCAAGATCATTGTACACTTGAACTAATTTATGCACCATACTGAAATGAGAAAGGAATGCAATATATACATTATCAAGTAAAATGTAATCCAATCGTATGAAGCGCTGTAGTTTCATGATTCATAGTGGTTAAACGAGTCCTCAGTATTGTTTTGTCAGGAGGTAAAAGTTATGAAAGACACATTAGAGAAATCGTTTAGACCATCTACAAGTATTAAACATTTAAAATGCAGTTGGTCAAACTACTTCGATACACTAGGGCATGTTTAACTGTATGAAGAACGATTCCAAAAGGTGAGTTTCAGTCTATTTGCAACTTGTCAGCTGGATGCACCTGAATTCCAGTGAGTGGTGGTGTTCCGACCGAGACTCGAACTCAGCACCCGCCGCTTCCAACACTGAAGCCTTATCCACTGAGCTACTGAGTTGCTATGGCTACTCTTTGTGTAACGGGTATTGTTTGACACTATGATTTGCTATTTCCGGTTGTTGATTGGTTTCTCTCGAATTAATCGACCTCTGGGTTCCTATGCCTATGCTTTAATAGTTCCGATGATTGCATCGAGACATTAGGAACACCATCATTTATTGCGACGCATGTACAATATCCAATAAACAGGTCAAAAATAGAACGAAATGCATCTTCTAATTCCCGCTCCTGACTACTGTTCATCCTTAACAGAAACATTAAATCACCGGCTATGTGTAGACATCGGCACACGAGTCCACATGCCAACGAATTCGGTCCAAATCAATCAACAACGGGGAATAACAAGTCCTAATGTCATGCTTATTGTATTTAATATATGTCTGACTAAAGACAGCCAATGAGGAGTTCCAGAAATGTAATTCATTATTGACAGTGTTCATAAGGAGAGAGGAAGTGAGTCATAATTTGGTAACCTATCCTTTCGAAGTATTCTAACCTAACATCCTTGAATGCACTACCCAAAACACGCAAATGCACGTGATGATTAGTAACCAGGTAGCGGGAAACACATCACTGTAGTCATCAGTTGTATATTTATCCACAAGGCGATTTAAGATTATCACTAATATATAAAAGTAATAGTCATTATTCCAAACAACATATGTGATACAGTATGACATTCTCAACATGTAATATTTCAACAAATTTGCTCCTTATGTAATATTTTTAAACGAAATATTTATTGCATCCGAGTAGCATTAATAGTAACAGTATTAAAGGAACTAATGTGAAATGGGTAGCTGACGGTAAATAAGCGTGTGATTTGGACTCGGGAATGAATACATAATCGAGTGTAATTTTGGTGGTGGTAGTTGAATCGGCCAGTACAAAAATCTGCAATTCGATATAGGTATCCTATCAATAGTAATGTGCTGTATTTTGAGCATTTATAAGTCCACTTTCATCGGGCGAGCTATTTCTTCTTCATTTCACTGTTAGCTTGAGAAATGACAGTTTGGAAACATTTTAAATGTGTGCGAGGTGTATGATACATTTAGGAGGCATATTTAATAGATTAAAACAAAAGGAAAGAATTTGATGAGATATATACAGCAGAAGATTTCTGGTAGCCTCTTGTTCAAGCGGGTCGCCAGTCCTACCAAATGACATCAGAACACTTAAAAATAATAATCACTAAGATGTGTGATTCAAACGATTGGTCAGTAGTATTTCTGATTGTTGTATTACATAATTTCACTTATTTTCCAAATACACTTTATTTACGAGTACTAACTGAGAGAAAATTAAGTTACAGAGTCTTCTACTAATGGCATTGAACTATTCACTGTTCTCTTCTTGTGAAATGTAATGTTTAGTTTTGGACTAAATAGAAAATAAACAGTCCTAATAAAATTACTACACTGTAGAAGAACATACTTCTTGCTTTGATATCAAAGTAATAGCAGTAAAAATTGCTTCTTTGTTATGTCAAATTTTGTATCAGCACCCACCACTTCATGAAGAAAGAAGTAATACTGTTTAGACATCAAATATCTACACCTTAGACCCCTTAAGAGGCCGGAAGCCGTAGAAAGAATTCAGAATCAATCAGATGACTACACATATAGGTGTGTGGTTGGGTGAGATCGCCTTAACCATTGATAGCAACCTTGTGGGATATTCAAGAAACGTCAAGGCCATGTGCAGCTATGTGAATGAGCCACTTCAAAACTTAAAGCAAGAGATATCCTTGATTGAAAGTCATTCGACTCTACTGAAGATGAGATTAATTCTTGTCGCGATATAATTTCATACCCTTCATCTGAGAATCTCTGGGTTGTGACTGATTTTAATGCATGCATTTGACTCCAGACGTTAGGTGATCAGCACTAAGCCTTGTATAACTCATGTAATATTGACTAACATTCAAAATAGTATCACATCAAACCCTCGGTGAAATTAAGACCTGGTCAGACGCTGGGCTTCATAATTCCGTTGGTGGAGCGCCCAGATGGCAACTTAAAGGCTGCTGCTTTGAATCACATTGTGGCTCAGATTTTCTTTTCATCTTAGATCATCAAATTGTCTACACTTTGCTTTATTTACGTAGAGTATCTAGCTTAACAGATAAGGATGTATATTACTCTAATCTAACGGTAAAGCTTTGTGTGAATCCTGGTAAAGATTTGACCGGATAACTCCACAAATAATGAGCACCGAGTTTAAAGTTGACACTACACACAAGTTATATTTGCATAAATCTCGTCATCTAATTATTTTCCTGAATAAACCCTATCCAGCCTTCTATGCCAAACATTGGAATTATTTATTTTAAACACGCTGAGATTTATGGAAGTATGAGCCTATAGCAATGGTTCAGTGATAATAAGGTCTAGCTATTTGCTGACACGTGTAGTAATATACGAACTGTGCTCCCATAGTACTAGATTCCTGAAGCTAACATAAAACTGACCTCAGTATCTAACTATACGATTATTCGAATAGCAAGTCCTGATTGTGTATAGGGTCAACCTGCAGGATATTATTCACCAGTATCATGTGATTGAAAATCAACCAATTTGTTATCGATTTGATAGATATTGAAATGAAGTTGAGCAGAATTGAGTCTTTTTCGATTAGTATCATCTTAATGAACAAAGACAATTCATGTAATATTGCAGATTAAAGAAATTAAGCGGTAAACTTAGAAATCGATTCCTACACAGTCAGTACAGACTCTTTTCATCCTTTGAAAACAGTAAGGTGTTTTAAAGCAATGCTTCTAATTATGCTGATTCTTCCTTATGTGTAATGAACTCGCTTCTGTGATTACTCTGTTTTGTAAGGTGCAAGATTAGCTAAAACAATGGAAGGGTATGTAATTTTATGTAGTGTGCAGTAAATCAGACTGCTTGGAGGCGCAAGTTTCACCATATCTCACCTAAAATACCATAACAAATTTTTACCGCTATTCAGATAAATATTTCATCTTTTCTAGGAGTCAGTTCATAAACCTACATTCATAAGGTAGTGATATTTACAAGTCTGATTCCTTAAATTTCCACTTTTCTGGAAATTCAACTAGCTACTAGGTTGCATCACACTCAGCCCAAGGGAAGATGAATGACGAATTATGCTTGACAGGCTTCCCTTCTAACCAATAGTAAGATCTACAATGTGCTATCCCCCCTCCCTACTCATCAGCTGGATTTACCTGAAATGTAAAGGTTAGGATGAAAGAGATAAGATAATTGTAGGCCTTCATCGATTCAGATAGTTGGAATGTGTGTTAAGCATGCCTACTCAAAGTTTTACATGGATGCATGATAACTAAGACAGAGTTAGATTTAAAAAAGTTAAGGGCTGTTTAGACGCCAATCTGACTTGCTCTGAGGGGTGTAGGAAAATGAAGGTTCCCGGGTTGAAGTCTGAGATGGATGGCTAAAGACTCGATATGGCCCTAAGTCTATTGCAGTGGTATCCTTGAATTACATTTATTCCAACAATTTCTTTGCATTCCACCACTGATCCTGAATTCTCGAATGGCCTTCAACGACCATTGATTATTCTTGTTGCCCATATACTTTGAATGCTGACACAATGTAGGGAATTAAACGGTACGCAGTAATACCATCCTTCATTTTAATTGCGTGTCGCTCTTACTACTATCTGCATTTGTATCCTCGAAGAGACTCGAACATAGCACTATGGAAGTCAAAATGTTGTCCACTAGACAACTCATTTAAGCTAAGCCCCTCATATTCAACATGTATATGGTGTTACTATTGTTAGCTTTCAAAACTAAGCTGAATGGTCATTGTTGATATGTCAGATCCTCGTATATAGACTGATAATTGCTTTGTTTATTATATTATATTTGATCGAACAAACTGTCTCAGTCACTAGTATAATCAGATTGGCTGTCTTTTCCCAAACCTGAAGAATTGCTTGAATCTCAGTAATGACCACCAAGAAAAAAACCTCTCGATGAAGAAAAAGGTTTTCTATTCACTTTTGTATCTATCTGCATGGATAGGTTTACTGTTTGCAATCTTCAAATCACTGTCATCCTAACAAAAGGTTTCATTGAAAAGTTGATCATTTAATCCTCAGACTTCTTCAAATAACCCCAGAAATGTAAACGAAACAAGAAATATAGATTAAGAATTCTTATTTTGCGTGGTTGAATAGTTTCGAACGAATTTATCGGCCTCTGTTGATGTATATCTTAAACCTACGAAGACTACGACCCCCCAAAAAACCAGCACAAATTCACCGACCAATATACAGTACAATTCAGGAAACAGTGAAGCTGGGTGGAACGTGCTATCTTGAAGCTTAATGAAATAGTAGACCCTGAGCAGTGGTAGTCCTTTTATTACACGCCTCATACAGTGAAACAGTATTACGCACTGGATGGCTTTTCCAGCACATTTGAATTGTTCATAATCATATCAAGGCAGTGAACAACTTATTGGTCCAGCTGTTATAGTCCTACCGTTTGTTACTTTCGGCTTTAGCTGAAAGTGAAATTTTCCACATATCCGGAAACTGTGTTGTCAACACTACATGTGTCAGGTGTCGATTCGATAAACAAGGCTTCGCTTCTCACTGCACCACTCACACAAGTTATTTCTAGAGATTGCCACTTGATTCCATCCTGTTGCATGATGGTTCTTGACACTAAACCATAACTACATCTAAGCCCTTTTTTCTAGACTGCTCATCTCGCTAGAGCGTACCAACCTATAGTTAGCTAGATTTCCATATCCTGGTCCCAGTCGGTCAGTTTAACTTCACAGTCGTAGCATGAAGTTTGGTACATGAAATCAATTTGAATAATGGGTTCGATAGGATCCTTCAGCTGACAAAAAGTTTATTCTCATATGAGCTTATAAGTTTACACACGAGTATAATTCCGGCCTTATTAAGAGTCCTGAATAGAGACTTTCTAATAAAACCAAGGCGGTTTTTAATTCCTTCCTACGCGATCTTATTATTATTGGTGCCTTTTACTGCGTTATTATTATTGCCACTACTCCATATGTGTTCCTGAATAAATTTACTTGGATAATCGCTGGCCTATAACATATCTTCTGCATGCCTCGTTTCTTGACACGGATTTTCTGAATTACTAGTCAGACTTCGTGTCCTGCTATTTCAGCATTTGGTTGAGCCTGGCCTTGACTGATATTATATGGAACGACCTGGTGTCCACGTGTTAATGATAGTATGAAAGCTATTTGTAAACGGTAGTACCCGAAGCTATTTTCTTGCCTTCGTTTTATTTTGTACTCCAACACACCTGGTCCTCTTTCATCACCCTCCACCTCACAGTAATGTTTTTAAGAAAAATCGTAAAGTAAGATACAATACAGTGACAATTTCTAAAAATAACTTGCGTGAGTGACGCAGTGAGAGGTGGGTAACTGAGGTCCCGTCTATCGAACTGATACCTGACACATGTAATAGGAGTGACACAAAATCGGATTTGCGGAAAACTTCACTTTTAACTGAAGTAAAAGGTGAGAAACAGTAAGACTAGAAACAATAGACCAGAAAATTTTGTCATTACCCTGATAAGATTATGAGTAGTGAAGTTGTGCTGGAAAAGTCATCCAGTAAGGGAATAATTGACTGACTAAATCAACGTAGAACCTCGCACTCACGTGCATAGGCTCAAGCTGCTAAACTTCACAGTAATACACAAAAAACAGGTGGATAGAAAAGAGTGAATCAAAGCAGATAAAATTGTGTAAGAGTATAAACAAGCTGGAAATTATGCTTAGTGCGAATATAGATGTCAAGGTGTGAATAAATCTGAGCCATTATCACTGATTATCCCCCATTTCACCAAGAGTCCTTCCTCAACCACTGATTCCTATCGTCTCGGGGACCGTAACCAGGCAGTCTAGATCTCCCTCCCCACACCGCTCAGACCAGCAGCAAAAGACTTCATCGACTGGTGCCAGATCTTGGTCTGACCACTGGGAACTCTCTTCCAACCTATCCAACTTCCCCTAGTGTGGCACGTCGAGGTAGGCGTTGGTGGTTCGGCATGCACAGTACATGTCCAAGCCATCTCAGTCGACTAAGGTTCATAACCTCATCAATCTACTTGGTTGTCTTGCCTAGTATCCTTCGACTGACTTCAATATTCCTCACATGGTGATTCAACCAAACGTGAGCATTGCTATGAAGACATTTGTGATCAAAACTATGAAACCGCCTAATGTCGTTTACTTTTAACCGCCATGTCTCACAGCCGTAGAACAGGAGAGAACAAACTACAGCGCAGTATACACATTCCTTAACAGATACTCCACTAAGTAATATTGTGTCACTATCTGATACACATGATAAAAGTAGTATAATGGAAGCATCTTGAAGCCTCTATCACTTCTCAGTATTCGTCATAAATTGACGTCTAGGTAGCCGGAGTTTCTTCAAACCATGATTAACATATCCCTTAGAACGTTTGCATCAATTAGAATCTAGTCACTATCATCAGCAATGAAACATAGACCACGAAAAACACATTAATAACCAATAATTAAGAGATAATAAGCAAACAAATAGGTAAGCAGTTCATACAGAAACGCTGTGGAGTTTAAAAAATGATGATGATAAAAAATGAATATAGACAGTGGAAAAAAACAGCTAGATCATGTCTTTATTGTAAAACTAAATATTAGTACAAAATATACAATAATAATTTACATTGTTTCAGAAGAGGAAGACTAATCACAATATAAGCAAACAAAAAGCGAAATTAGATAAGTATACTTATAGAATAGTGTGAAATGCAAGGAAACCACTGATGGAAATAACAGGTTCCATAATGATGATTACGGTGATAAGGAGGTTCAGTCTCGGCAAAAAAAGCATACGCACACACATACAATCACAACAATAAAAGAAATGCAAAACCATCATCTATAGAATGGTTTGATTAGAAAGTAGCATAAAAAAAGTATGGAAGGTAGGCTGTAGATGCGTAAACATGGGGAGAATGACAATCAGCAATGAGAAATAGGATTGGACTTTGACTTTTCACTATTGACTGTCATTGTTTTGCCAGCGGCTTGAGCTGTCTTCTCTGCAATAGCATCTAACAATGGTTGACGTTTATGCCGATAACGAACTGCTAGATTACGTAGTTCTGTTTCCAAGTCATTTGTTAAGGAAATAAGTAACTGTTCTAATTCTGCATAGGACAGTCGACCTAATGCACCAGGTTCATTGGCTATACCGTTTGGATAAAGACCACTTTGTTGAACAGCACGTGAAAATGGTGCAAATGGTCTTTGCGCGAAAGGTGGCTGAGCATGACCAGTTGCATTTACATTGGGATCATTCAACATAGCGTGTTGTTGTACTTCTCGGCTGAAATATATAGGGAAAAAGCGAATAAAGTTAGGTTAAACAGGAAACGAAATCATGTACAGAAAGTATGCAAAACACACACGTACGTTTCTGATGCCTAATTCATGTAAACTCAAGTCAATATCACCACAGGACCTCGCAAAACTCCTTAACACTACGAGTTGTCATACTTCACATATAGGCAGATTCAGATAAGTAATTGGAAGTCATAGAAAGTCATAAGAAGAAAAGATGGTGGAAAAAGTGTAACGAAATGTCGTATGATGGTTAACAATAATGTGGAGATATTTGTACCATTGAGATCAATTTCCAGTCATATCGCTTACAGTCTCTAACCACTGGTTTCTGTCGCTACGTGGACCCAAATCAGGAAATCTATATTCCCTTACATGGTTCAGACGAATCGTCAAAAATTTCACGTAATGATGCCATGTATTAGTCTGACCACCCCTAACCTTTATCCTACGTACACCTACTTCAGCTAACCCAGTGCAACAAAGCAGACGGTGACTAGGCATGCATAACACGTGTCCCGGTCACCTCAGCAGATGAAGTTTCATAACCTCACTAACTGACTCTTTTCTTCTGCCTAAAACTCTACGCTTAACTTCTACTTCATTGAGGTGGTGACACCACACCACGATACACGGCCTATGATATGAACACTAAGGTGGTCGAACACCTGTAGCTTTCTCATATACTCCATGTTTAACAGCCAAGCTTCATATCTATACAGTAGATTAGAGTAAACTGTAGTGCAGTACACTCAACCCTAAATAGGCAATCAGATATCACGCTAACACTGAAGATGGTGAAAGCAAGCAAAAGTTAATCGAACCTTTTATATCCTTGCCTAAATTTTGTCGCTAACTACATTATCAAGGTTAGTTTGACTTTTCAAGGAAGTCCAGAGATCATATTTTAAAAATCCACTTGAATCGTTTGTATGAACCAGGAAATTTTTATAAACCAGGGAATACTGGAGAGCTACTTGTTTTTAGTTTCGAATTCAATCAGCGGTTATTGACGACTGATTTCGAGATAGATCTCTACAAAGTCCTAGTGGAAAGTCATATTTTGTAGAGTAGGTCATAGATGCTGACAGAAACTCACTAGGTAGTGAGGCAACCAAATTTAGAAAAGGTGAGTGGTTGGACAACATTTTGCTTACTGAGTGGTCGAGTATTCATTGCGAAACCTGAATGTCTTGGGCTCGATCCTGCATGCTATCGTTAGTATGCACTGCTGAGTCCCAAACTAACTATCCAGTGGACTCCAGTTTTTCACTGCTTCCTTGATTGGTAGCCAGTTCATGAAAAAAAGCTATATATGCATATTGGTCAAAAAGATCATCTACGATTTCACCATGATTCAGGCATAAGAAGCAAAGCAGTTGTGTCTCACGTATGTAGACTAAACCGAATTCTCAACAACATATTACTTCTGTTAATCATGTGCTTGCTTCAGTTCACTGAAAAATACATTTCCGAAGACTTTGTATGTTCAAGGTCAAAGAGTACTGAAATAATCGAGATTTTAGATCATGGTCGAAGTGCAGTGAGAGCTACTTATGAGAACGCATATCAGCAGTATATGCAGCAACGTTAAAAGCGATAACAATGGATCAGTGAGAAATCAGACAAAAGCAATACACAATATTTGATGTGAATATAAAGCGGAAGAACAACAGTGTAGAATGGACTGACATTCAGAAGAAGAGGGAATTCGAAAATGCATAAATTATTGCTAGGTATAGTAATTTTATCACTATTAGTTGTATTTTCCCAATAAACAATTTCAGCTGCTCATTGGAATTCGCTTCAGAAGTGGTTCACTCCGTTATTTTACACCTTATCTCCATTTGCTCCTTTGAATTCTAATCGAATTTCTCATATTTTTTGTGTCATGGAAGGATATAAATCAGGAAATTCAGATCACCAATATAAATCAAACCAGGTCGGTTGTGTAACTGGCACATGGGCCTATGTAAAATGGCGTGGACATCATTACACGATGAAACAGTTTCCTTTATCCTTCATCCCTATTGGTGATTACTAATCTGGAAATATCCAGTCGGATCCCGAATGAAACATTGAGATAGACCCTATAACACTTTTGGAGACTGTAATTAACCTGAAGCGAATTAGGAAAGCAGGGCTACATAGGCTAGTAGCAGAGGTATTTAAGGACGATGGTCGAGGATTACTAGTTGAACTAACTAATGTGTTAGCAAGTGTACGGGAACTAAATATCATCCCTTCTAACTAGTCTCCATAACTTCTTCTCATGATAACCACGGAGGAATCAGTCTGACGAAGACGGTAACTAAGATTGCAGGTCCGACAATAATCTTCTTGCGATTCACCCTGATTTCCTGATATGAGGTGTGGCACCTTAGATAGTCAACAGTAGTGTCAGGTCCCATGCTGCAGCTGACTTATAATTTGGTTAGGAGAGATACCTTAGGTAGTGACAGTTTATCAGTCAATTGTTATTATACTGGTTTGTTAGACGTCCCAGCATTAGAGTAGACGTAAAAGAACCAGCACATAGTTGAAAACTCACTCAATATTATTAGGAACTTTTGCAGCTTTATCAATTCTTCTAGTTAGTGTACCTTCAGTAGTTGTGATAGCGGGCGGGAGAGCAGCGTCCAACATTGCAAAAGCTTCGCGTTGATCACGTTCTGCATCGTCCAGACCATCTGATGAACTATTTGTATCATGCACAACAACAGAACCACTATCTTCCTCACTTTCAGCATCATTTACAACCATTGTATCCAAATTACCGGATAGATAAGAACTATTCACATTGGATTCATCATGATGGCGTATAAAACTGCCATTGGTGCCATCGTCATCATCATTGACACCATCTGTACTCTCACAATTCGAATTTAAAGAGACCAAAGTTGCAGCTCCATCAACATCTAGACTGTGATGGATAAGAAATGGAATCAAGTAAACATAAAAGGTGTGAATCACCGACATTTAAAAGAAATGGATCCTTTATAAAGTTTTTTATATTGCATAAACATTCAACTTTAACAAATGTGTAAATGATTTAGTTGACTATGATACAGTTAAAAAGTCTAGCCATTTAACTTTCCCTTTTTAAGATTATTCATTTAAGTCAAAATAATGTTTCAAGACTACTGTGGGCACACAGAGAAACGGTGTAGTTGCTAGTGATGTCCAGTGTCATCGTTTCTATTTAACTTTGTCACAGACAAACAAAGAGACATACATTTGGGTACGTCTGAATTTGCAGTGACTGATTTACTCACTCGAGGCCAAATTATGGATTGAGGGTATGTAGATGAAATTATCCAACCTCGCCCACCTTACTAGTTCACCCAGTTAGTATCCGGTCCTAAGCCCGGGTAAAGAGGGAAGGTTGGGCCTACGGCAAGCAACCCTACCCCAGAAAACCAATACAATCGCCAAAAAAACTTCAAAGCACAAACAAAATATAAAAAATAAACCTATTCCTCGCTGGAATCGGAGAGGCGAAATGACGCCGGTTGGTGAAAGCCTTCGGGAAGCCAATTAGCCGATGTATCTTCTCTCGATGAAAGCAAAAGTAAACATGGGGACATGGAATGTCCGCACAATGTTTGAACCTACCAAGGCTAAAGCCCAGATTGCAAAAGAAATGAGAAGGTAAAGCATAGAAGTGCTAGGAATCTATGAAAGCAGATGGAATGGGAGTGGACTCTCCAAACTGTCAACTGGAGAGTCAGTAATCTACTCCGATATTGTCACCCAGACGACAACCACGAGCATACTGAGTTTTGGAGTGGCTATCATGATGTCCCCAAGAGCATCGAAGGCTCTCTCTCTCATGCAGTGGGAACCAGTCTTCTCCAAGATCAGGATCATGACAGCAAGATACAAATCAAAAGGAAGGAAAGTCACAATCATACAATGCTATGCTACGCTACGCACCTACAAACAATGCAGATCAAGAGAAGAAGGAGGAATTCTATAGACAACTGAAATCAGTACTGGACAAGACCTCAACCCAGTTGGCGACATCAAAATTCATTCTAATGTGTGGGGTGGGTGACATGAATGCCAAACTGGGAGCAGACAATACAGGAAGAGAACAGTGCATGGGTCGAGAAGCACTCGGTGAAATGATGAACGAGAATAAAGAACTGTTTGCAGACTTGTGCGCATTCAACGATTTGGTGATTGGAGTCAGGCACTGTGTACGAACACAAGGATATTCACAAGGCAGCGACATGGATTTGATTTCACCAGACACCAGGACACACTACACTAAACATCGGATCGACTTCATCCCAATGTGAAGAAAGGGGAGATGGAGACACAGCCTACTGGACACAAGATCAGATCAAGAAGAGGAGTAGTTGTAGCTTCACACCACTCACTTCACTATCTAGTACAAGGAACCTACCTTCAAAATCAAGTTGAAAGCCTTCACAGAAGTTGGTGATGATCGACCACAGTTCAAGTTGAACAACCACCCAGAACAGAAACTGAACTGAAGCAGGGAACTACAAAGGAGATCTTCACGTTGTCAGCCATCAGGACGAAATGGGAAACATAAAGCAACATCCCCGAGGAAACCTGCTTGGAAGAACACTGGAACTCTTTGAAAGCTATGTGGGAAGAAACCTGCATAACCATATTCTGAAGGAAGAAGAAAGAAGATAAGGAATGGACCTCGACGGATCTTCACATGGAAGCTGATAGAGGAGGGAGAGGAAGATGGTGAAGCAGAAGATGAACCAGTGCAATGATGCGCAACGAAAAGAAGAACTGGGTACAGCGTATGAAACACTGGACAAAGAAGTGAAGAAGAGTGCGCGCAAAGGCAAAAGTCACTACTACGACACGCTGACAAGTGAAGCAGAACTGGCTGCTGATAGGAGACACCTGACAACATTATATCAACACAGATGAAACAAATGAAAGATAGTGTAGGAAACTTAGTTACCAGAGAGGAGAAACAAAGGAAACGATGGGCTGATCACTTCGAAAAACTCTTGAATCGACCACCACCTGCAACTAGTCCGAAAATACCACCAGCAACGGCAGTACTACAAGTGAACACAAGCCCTCCGACAAAAGCAGAAGTCCTGAATACCACGAAGGTGCTGAAATCCGGGAGAGCAGCAGGACCAGATGGAATTCCGCCAGAAGCACTGAAAACAGATGCAGAGACAACAGTAGCGGACATGCTGACACCACTACTGCAGAATGTTACGAAGGAAGGAAGGAAAGGTACATTCTGATTGATTGGAAGAATGTCTACCTTGTCAAATTCCCAAAGAAGGGAGACCTAAGCCTTTGCAAGAACTGGCCTGGAGTCACGCTGCTGTCCACCCCAAGCAAAATATTATGCCCCCATCATCCTGGAGAGACTAAAGGATGCTCTGGAGTCAAAACTACGACTGAACCAGGCTTCAGGAAGAATAGATCATATGCGGATCAAATTGTAACACTACGCTACGCATCATCATAGAACAGAGTATAGAATGGCAGTCAACTCTCTACCTCAACCTCAACTTCATCGACTTTGAAAAGGCCTTCGACAGCGTCGACTGAGAAGTAATTTGGAAACTGCTGCTCCAACACTACGGAGTGCCACTAATCTTTATCAACCTCATTCAACAGCTATATGCTGTATGATGCTACATGCCAAGTGATTCACAATGGAAAGCTCAATGATGTCTTTGAAGTGAAGACAGGAGTAAGACAAGGCTGCCGCCTACTATCACCCATTATCTTCGTGATTGTGATGGACTCGACCGGATCATGCAGCAAACAGTGAGGAGCTGTGTGAAGATGGGCATACACTGGCTTGACCGATGAAAAGAGCCTATAAGATTTGGATTTCGCCGCCGATGATGATTTATGTCTAATATCTTGTCGCACAAACTCAAAGATCTACAGGCAAAAATCGACAAGTTGACAGAAGAAGCATGGCAACGAAAACAGGACTTCAAGTGGATGTAGAGAAGACAGAGGTGATGAAGATATCCAACCAACCAACAACAACAAGCACCAATCACCATCACCGGGAGAAAGCTAAAGGAAGTATTCTCTTTCACCTACCTAGGCAGCATCGTTTCAACTACAGGTGGCACAGATGTGGACCTCAAAGCCAGGATAGGAAAAGGAAGACAGGCCTTCATTAATCTGAAATCAGTGTGGAGATCTACTGCACTGCACTACACTACACTCAGCATAAAACGTGAACAATATCCGGATTTTCAACACGAATTCAGTCAAGTCAGTGCTTCTTTGTGATGGTTGAGAGACTTGGCGCGTCACGGAAAGCACTTCCAACAAACTACAGACACTCATCAGCAGCTGCCGCCTACGCTTACTCGATACTGAAGATCAGATGGATAGAATAATAAGAATAAGCAACAAGGAACTCAATCTGGCATGCCAACGAACCAACCAAGAATCTATCGCCCAACAGAAGTGTAGAAGCAAGTGGAGATGGATTGGGCATACACTGAGAAGACCATTCGGGGACATCACGCGCCAAGTCAGGCCGTTGAGTGGAACGCACACGGGAAACAATGAGTTGGGCGTCTGAGGCGAGGGTAACATGGAGGAAATCATGTGATGAAGAGATGAAAGCTTCTGGGCAGTCGTGGAGGCAGGTTCAAAAGACTGCAGAGAACAGAGTCCAATGGAGATGTGCTACTGGAGCCTTATGTTTCACTAGAAACCCAAGGGACATATAAATAATAATAATAATAATCAGTTTTAAGCAGGCTACGTTTGTTAGGAATTTAGAGACCACGGATTTGAGACATATTTAAGTGACTATACAAAAGAAATGAATAAAGATATTTATAATGAATGAGTTTTTCCATCCACTTTTCTTGGCATGATGCTGTGAATTTCGTCGAACAGGATGGATGCATTGATGTGCGAGGTTCTACGCTGATCCGAGCCACAAATTTGAAGTGAAACACTCAGTGGGCAATTAAACTGCATCCCATCTTCAAAGTAAAACAAAACGTAAAACAATTATCTTACCCAGTTTCCCTATTGTTTCTGCTATTATTCAGGTTACGATTGCACGAGGTATTTGAACGAACCATTGTATGTAAATTGTCGTCGAAATCATCTTGTTGTGATGATGGTTGACTTGGTTTATACTTTGACTGATGATTTTCATCGGCTTTATTCATCACTGAATGACGTCGTTTGGCGGCTTCAGAGGTCGGGGTTCCTGGCGAAGAAAGAGGTGCAGCTGCTTGTTGTTGTTGTTGCTGCTGCTGTAATAAACGTTTTTCTCGGGCTTCACTGGCTTCATTAATCAGTGGCCTACAAATACAAACATGCATATATATAACGGAAGCATAAAATGACCGGGAAAATGCACATTATACCATAAGTTCTTATGACTTGATATTCCAATTCGTTTATAACGTTAACTGATTAAGAGATTAATCGGTGGTACTACCACAACTTCTTGCATGCCGAATTCGTCCATACAGATGAGTTATCCAGTAACCTATCACCTTTGACCTTAAATTCAGTAGAGGAGGTGACCACATCTGATTGTCCTTGTGTTTTGGTACTTGGGTCATGTGTATAAATACCCTGGTGAAATGACCTAGTTCGCAAGAATGGAACAGATAGTCAAACGAAATAAGTAAGAGATCAGTCCAAGACTCTAGAACTGGTCTATACAGTAATACAAATAAAATGAGTTCCAGTTCTAGTTCGAAGATCCTTAATTTCCTTTCTTTCATCCGCATAACAAGCGTTAATCAATAATCACTGAAAAAGTTCACCATCCCTAGATCATGTTTTTATTATTATTATTAGTCCCTTGGTTCCTAGTGGAACATAGGGCTTCAGTAGCACGCCTCCAGTGACCTCTGTTCTCTGAGATCTTTTGAACCTGGTTCCACGACAGCCCAGAAGCTCTCATTTCCTCCTCGCACGACCTCCTCCATGTCACCCTCAGCTGGGACGTCCAACTCGTCGCTTCCCATGGGGATTCCACTCGAGCAACTGGCCTGACGCGTGATGTCCTCAGTCGGCCTTCTCAGTGTATGCCCAATCCATCTCCACTTCTTCCTGCATATTTGTTGCGTGATAGGTTCTTGGTTGGTTCGTTCCCAGAGTTCCTTGTTGCTTATTTTTTCTGGCCATCTGATCTTCAGCAGCGAGCGTTTGGATTAAGATTGTCTTAATCCTTTTAGAAAACATTGACTTCATCTTGTCCAATTTGTCTAATGCCATTACATAATACTTAATTGATTTACCATTTTCAATAATTTTTTCACCCCCTTCTGAGTTATATACTCTCTATGTACCATTCCATATATTACATAATCTATTTGTTATCATTCGCACTTCAATTGTTATTATAATCATAAATGCCTATGTCATCACCCGCTCTATTATTACTGTCATCACCATATAGTGTTTAGTTTTCCTCACAGGATATAATTTTTTCCAAATACCATATATATACGATTGTACAGCTTGAAAATAAATTCGTTGAAAAGAGTCTCTTCGCTGAATATCTTGTTCTTAATTATTTGAGTGGTTGGATTCTTGAAAACTGATCATTTAGTGTCACAAAGTTAATGAATGAGATCTGTTTTAACATTTTTTTTTCCGCATACAAGACGCGTTCTAGATTATGCATAGTTGAATTCCTACATTCAGCCGTACAAGTGTAATGTCTTACGCAATTTCTTCTTGTCCTCCCTGAGGAAAGAGCTGTGAATAGAGAGGATGCTCGGTATCAGATGAAATGACTGTAGCTAGTTGCCTGCTTGAATTTAAATATATGTGAACTACGGTGTTAATCAGTTGGGCCAGAGCTTTACTGCATACCCTACCGACAAATTTCAAAGTTCTTTTTCAGTAGACCAAGGAGGATCAACAAGAAACAACAAGGAAGAACAGGTAAAATACATGGATTAATAAATTGTAAAAGTGGAAACTGAGATAGCGCAGGAAGTCTCAGCTTCCTTATGAAATACATCATCAAGATCAACTTAAGACCAGAGTATTACTCCGTAACGGTCCAAGTTGACACATCTCACATCAGCACATCAAGTAACGAAGAAATAAAGTGGAAAATGAAGTAACGAAAAGTCAGTCAAAAGAAGTAGGGTATTGGGCAACCGAATGTTGTCTGAACTGTTACTCGAAGTGTTCCGCCCATCTTTCCAGTCGCTTCACTTGTGAGTGATACACAGATCCATCCTTTTCTGTTATTTTCTTATTAAACGTAGACCTTTAGGTTCCAGTTCCCTTAATAGGTCTAAGCAGCTATCGACTATTCAATATCGCTGCCGTCTTTTCCATGTCTTTTGCATTCGCTACCCACCACTGTTCATGGTCCTTGCAAAGACTGTTTGCTAATCTGCATTTGAGTTGCTTCCGCTTCTCATTTCTCTCCTAGTCTAGAGCTTGTGCGCGCGTGTATCCATCACTTCAGAAGGAGCTACTAAGGTCCACTAGCTCTTTCTCACCACTTTCTGAAAGTTAGCTACAGTCTTCAACTCTGTTTTTACAGCAGACTGGAGATGTCCCAAAGCTTCTGGACGAGTGATGTTCTGCACCGGTAACTGTTTAACCAGCCTTAATGCTTTTATTGTCGAGCTGAACTGGCAATGGTGTCGCTGCTGTAGTTTTCCTACTTCCATTCAGACTCGGATGTACTCATGTTCGAACTAGCGCTTGATCGAATCCTTAAATTCACCCCAGCGCCTAGGTCTTGATAATGTTTTAAGAATTATATTTAGAAAGTGTTCGGATATTTTATGTCACACTGTTACAGATATCTTCAATGCATCTTTTTTCAAAAATACAATGCCTGCTGCTTAGGAGATTAAAATTGTACGTGTTCCTAAGTCATCTTCTGGATCAGATGTCAAGTTTAAACCTATTCTGCTATAACCTCTCCTTTTATAAAAAAAAAATGGAAAAAACCACCTCTACTTGTTAACAGAAGAATAAAACTTGTGCACTGCGGTAGATTGGAATTCCATTTTTATTGGTTTATTAGATTTATCATATAATGTAACAGTCTTGCTTACTGGATTCTGTTTCGGGCATAATTTATTGTCCATAGTCATATCAAGATAACTACATAACTTTGAGACATCTTTTATGTAGTCCTAATTTCCTCATTCCGTTTGTCATGTGGGTAGTAAGATTTTCCATATATCCGTAACAGGTGCCGAGTTATTCCTGTTGCATGTAAAGGTGTAGATTCGATAGACAAAGATTCAGTTATCTATCTCTTCACTCAACTTGGTATGTTAGTCTTAAGGATTTTTACCTTGTGCCATCCTATTGTGTGGTTGTGTGTAATCGTATGCATGAACATGACATAGATCGTAGTAAGGTGAGGAATTTCGAAAAAATCTCAGTCATAGCCATGCAAACAGTTACACACGACCACACAGTAGGATGGCTCAGGGTAAAAATCCTTAAAACTAAAATAGCAGGTTGGAGGGAAAGATTGGTAACTAAATCTTTGTTTATCGAATTTATACCCAAAGCTCTACTGTTAGTAAGAAAATAACAGAGACGGATGGATCTGTATATCACTCACAAGTGAAGCGACTGAAAAGATGGGCGGAACACTTCGAGTAACAGTTCAAATAGTCCAGATAATATTCTGTTGCCCGATACCAAACCCGATTCTGAAAGAAAAATTGAGAGAGGGCCTTTGACATTTGCAAAAGTCGAGGAAGCTGTAAGTGGTCTGGATCTAGCAAGGGAATAAGGACAAGATGGACTGGCAACGGAAATATTTAAGGACTCAGATCGCGGATGATTAGTCAGGTTAGCTGAGGTGTTAGCTACTGCGTGGAAGTCAGATATGATCCTCCATTACTCGCCTCTAACAGTGACTCTACTAGTTTGCAAGAAAAGCAAAACGTCTTGTGATAGCCACAGGGGAGTCAGTCTGACGAACTTACTGTCTAAGATTCTAAGTTCTAAGTTCATAAGAACACCCAAATGAGCTCGGAAACAGTAAACACGAGAAAACCAGGCAAGTTTCATAACTGGAAGTGTACCAATTTTTACCGATAAAAGTAGCTACATACCCACCACACTTCTTCCTGGAAATACATTGAAACTGTAGAAATAAAGTGAAATAATTTGATAAACTGAACCATCATCCAGAGAATATGAAGCCATGCTTTTTGCAGCGTTATTGCATTCGCATTACGATGACTAATTGCGGATAGGAGTGACTAAGGGTGATCAAGTACTTTCGATAATGACTTGCAGTCCTTGCTGTAAAATTTCAGGAATGGTCGTCTGATTGATTTGTACGCTCAAGTTTAGGGGAAGACGCTGACAAAACGCAGGACCTCCCAAACTACATAAGCAGAAATTTGAGTATTTTTGACGATAAGCATTTTGCACCTGTCATATGTACGATGGATGATGCTTCAAAACTGGTCTACAAGTACTCATAATTTAAGGACTGAAAGTCATCTAACGGTCAATTGCGTTGACCACTTCACTTACTTTTGGAGTCGCACAAACCCGAACGGCTTGGCTGCTGACGAGATCTCAAGTTCGATATAGAAGGCCTGTTTGGCATTTGCAAAACCAGCCCATCTTTTGCAATAGCAACATATCTGACTATTCATTTAACGATAATTATACTTCGCTACAGTCCGCTCCATCTCCTTATACAACCGTGTTCCATGGTTATTGAAAGTAGAAGATATGAAAAGACTACATATTTTCAAACTAAGATATCTTTTTAGCAGTGACCACATATGGTGGGAACCTCGCCTGGTTAACTAGTTTACTAGTTACTAGCCGGTCCTAAGACCGGGTAAAGAGGGAAGGTTGGGCATAGGGCTAGCGACCCTACACCGTAAAACAAATCTAACCGCTATACAAACTTCAAAGCACAAACAAAATATAAAAAATGAAAACAAACTTATTCCCCGCTGGAATCCGAGAGGCGAAATGACGCCAGTTGGTGAAAGCCTTCACGAAGCCAATTGGCCGATGTGTCTTCTCTCCCTATATGAAAGCGAAAGTAAACGTGGGGACATGGAATGTCCGTATGATGTTTGAACCCAGTAAGGCAGCCCAGATTGCAAAGGAGATGAGAAGGTAAAGCATAGAAGTGCTAGGAATCTATGAAAGCAGATGGAATGCAAGTGGACTCTCCAAACTGTCAACTGGAGAATCAATAATCTACTCCGATACTGTCACCCAGACGACAACCACGAGCACACTGAGGGAGTGGCTATCATGATGTCCTCAAGAGCATCGAAGGCTCTCTCTCTCATGCAGTGGGAACCAATCTCCTCCACAAT